CTGAACCCCAGTCTGTGACCCCCCCCCTGCAGCACCGTGTGCCCCAGTATGTCTGTCCTAACCTGGCTTTGCGGCAGGGTACTGTGATGAATGCAGCTGCCTGCTGGTTGTTTTGGTACCACAGCGGCCTCTGATGGGTGAAAGATGGAATTGCAGCACTTCTCAGGCAGCTTATATTTTCGGGGGCGGGGAATTCTGCGCTGGACATGAATTCTGCACATGCACAGTGGCACAGAACTCCCGCAGGAGTAATTTTATCAGGACAATAATGATCAGTAAATTACGAGTTTTCAAGTGATACCTCACAAGACATGCTCTGAATAAGATTTATCATAGTCTTGTAAAAAGAATGAATATAAGGGTATAGACCAGCAGTTCTCAAACTGTGGGTCAGGACCCCATTTTAATGAGATCACCAGGGCTGGCGTTAGATTTGCTGGAGCCTGGGGCTGAAGCTGGAGTCCAAGCCCCGCTACCCAGGGCTGAAGCCAGGGCTCAGGCTCAGGCTTTGGTCCCCCCTCCCGGGGTCATGTAGTAATTTTTGTTGTCAGAAGGGGGTCAGGGTGCAATGAAGTTTGAGATCCACTGGTATAGACTGTCCCACAATGCACTGTGGTGGATCAGCAGGAGGGATGCCCATGGTGTATCATTGGAAGCGTTATCCAGCCAGTGAACGTGGCCTATAGAGGAGAATGGGGCATGAAGCACCTGAACTATGACTAACTTGAGGCATCCTGGTGACATTTTCAAATAGAATCTTTTCATTTTTGTTAATTTTCCATGTGGGAAAACCTATTTTCTGATTGATAACCCCTGAATTCACTGGGGACTTACATCTGTCATTTTGATACACCAGTTGAATCATACACTGAGATGGTAAAACTTTTTTCTTTTACCATCTGCATTATAATCTGCATAGAAAAAATGTGTAATTTTTAAAAAAGCTAAATCGTCTGATTTAAAAATTACAGTAAGAAGACTTGAGTATGAACTTTATGTGGTTCTATAGTTTGTCTGCCTGTACACTAGATTTAAATAATTATAGCGGTAATGATAGTACAGTTAAACAAGGCTGGGTATGCTTTTTGTGACGGAAGCTCTGTTGCTGAGGCTTTGATAGCTGTAGCATTTCAAATAGCATCATACGTGCTATGTAGCTTGTTAGACTTAATGCACTTTTTTAAAGATAGTTTTTAAAGTACATTCACATTAGGAAGCTTGTTTTAATGGAATTATTTTGTACTTAATGGCAGCTCTATTCAGAAAAGTGACTAAGCAAAAATGGCACCCTCTTCGGCTTGGTCAAAACACAAGTTGCACTGGTTTAATTAAAAGTGTAATATTGCATTATGTTTGTTAAACAAGTGCAACTTTCTGAGTAGATACTACCCCAGTTTAAACCTGGCTCACATAGGTTTAGTTTGTTTAAATGATAATTTAATTAACAGGCGCATGCTAAAGCAATATAAGCCACGTTTAAAACGGGTGTAGTGTTCACACACAGAGTTGCACTGGTTTAACATTTCACTTCAACAGGCTGTCAAGCCTAGGGGATAAGGTGGGCTTGAGGTCTCGAGCATCCATACTGCTGTGCAGGTCTGTCTACAGAAGCTAGGAAGCTCACTCCCAGCTGGTCCACACTAAGGGTATGTCTATACTTACTTCCTGGTCCGGATGTAAGTGATCGATCTTCTGGGATCGATTTATCGCGTCTTGTCTAGACGCGATAAATCGATCCCGGATCGATCCCGGAAGTGCTTGCCGTTGACGCCGGTACTCCAGCTCAGCGAGAGGAGTACGCGGCATCGACGGGAGAGCCTGCCTGCAGTGTCTGGACCCGCAGTAAGTTCGGACTAAGGTACTTCGAATTCAGCTACGTTATTAACGTAGCTGAATTTGCGTACCTTAGTCCGAAGTGGGGGGTTAGTGTGGACCAGGCCAAACCCCCCACTTTGAACTAAGATACGAAACTTCAGCTACATGAATAACGTAGCTGAAGTCGAAGTATCTTAGTTCGAACTTACTTAGATACGAAGTATCTTAGTTCGAAGCAGGCAGGCTCCCTCGTTGACTCCGCGTACTCCTCTCACGGAGCAGGAGTACCGGCGTTGACGGCGAGCACTTCCGGGATCGATCCCAGAAGATCGATTGCTTACCGCCGGACCCGGAGGTAAGTATAGATGTACCTGTAGTGTAGATGTACCTGGAGCAATTCTCCACAGCTTTGCATCTTATTTCCCAAATACAGAATTATTAAAAAGTTGAGCACATACTCAGTTTAGACCTGATCCTTCAGCCCTTACTCAGGAGCCTAGCCCCATAAGGACTGCAGGATCCATCTATAAAATAGCTGAAATGAAACGCCTATGCTGCAGTACAGGCAGGCAAAACAATGCACTGGCATGGAGATTCATTATGCTCATATAGGGCCTCCTTCTGCATGCCTTAATGGGAATTCTACGCAGAGGGCATACAGGCTTGAGTGCATAAAATAGGAAGTACACTGCACAATGCCCTGTTTAGGAGCCTGGGAAGTGGATGAATTAGGTGTTATCTGAAAATGTAAGATTCACTAGAATGTTATATAAGGTTGTTGTTTTTTTCAAGTATTTTAATCCTAAAATCCTTGAAATGAGCTTATTACACATGTCACTTTTGTACACATAGATTTGTTTTGCTCTTGAACTGGCAAACTAGACTTGTTTTGGTCCAAAGCCAAATAATATATGAGGCAATTTCATGCCTCGTGAATTATAGAAGAGAATGTTTGGTACATAAAGCTTGTGTCTTCAGCCTGCCGGCTCCCCTCCCATTTCTCTTAATCCCTTTGGGAATCTTAGTTTGAACCATCTTCCAGAGCTTGAACAATTTCTAAAAGCTGGGAGATTGCTCCAGTGGAATGAAAGGAATTTCAAATATGATCCCTTTCCTCCTGGATGGAATTTCTTTTTGCTAATTCCAGATGGTGGAAAAATATGCTTTGACCTTAGCATAATGGTCATCCTTGTCAAAAAAACACTTTCTGGACTTGGGCTCAAAGGACACTAAAGCAATTACTTTACAATATTTTTCTGGGCCTTTGTATAAACTTTTAGAAAGAAGAAATTAAGGTCCGTTTCCTTACTAAAATGCATCTTCCTTCTTCACTTTTACATACTGACAAATTAGGGTAATGCACAGGGGTGAGGCTACTGGCCTTACATTTTTTTTAACAGGAAAAAAAAAGTCAGTTTGTGAAGGGAGAAGGAGGAACAATGAATTAAACTTTCCTAATAGTTGTGCTTAAGATGTGTGAATTGTGGGCTAGTTTTGGTTAAATCAGGGGCTACTGTACCAGTTTTGGGCCTGATCCTACAACCTTGACTTATGCAAGTAAACCCAGTGACTTCAGGGAAACTATTTAGATAAGGGCTACTTACACAAATAAGGATTGACACACTGGATCTTTTGACAGATGTCCCTTGAGATGCCAAAGCATTTTTAAAAAATGCACTAACATTTCTGCTGTGATACATTTAAAATAATCATGTGTATGAGAATGTATGAATGTATGACAGGAACATCATATGCAATGGGGAGAGTTGTCTCCCCCTCCCAACTTTTCGTAAGTCTGTATGCTCCATTATGTCTTTCATTTTTGTCCCCTTCCCGACTTTGCAAGATATAATATAATCACCTGTAATGTTCTGTATGCTGACACAATTTTGCTCCCTCCCCCTGAAATTTTTTCTGAAATGATGCCCCAATGTATGCAAAGGTGAATCCAGACATATATCTGTAAAATGCTTTGGAACCCGTCGATGAGATGGTATAAATGTACATCATAGACATCATTTTTCAGATAATTTCTTGTACAATTTTTATACCAAGAGCAATTCCTAAATTTATCCTCAGTGTCACTCATAGTATTTAAAATGAGCAAACTTTGGTGTACATAATGTACATGCCATAATGCTTGATCACTTTGCTTAATTTGTTAAAGAACAGAGGTCCAAATTTTGCTTTCTATATTGGTATGAATAGTCCCATTGAAGTCAATAGGGTTACTAGCCTACTCATATGAGTAAAGGGAGCAGGATTGGCTCCATATTTTTAAAAGGAGCCATGAATTGTATGAAAATGCTTAATATATAAACATGTTAAAATGTTTATGTAGTTTTTTCTCTTTCCCTTCCCCCATGTAGGATGGTAGAGTGTAAAAATTTTGCCTTAGTTATTGATGTTCTGTAAAAAGCTTAACAGTTCAATTTTATTACAGCTTGAGCCTTTTACCATGGCAACACAAATCCCGTGTTGCAAAAATGGGGCCCAGTCCTGCTTGCTTTGTAATTCATGAAAGTTCTGCTATTTTATTTCAGTGGGATCAAAATCAGGTCGGTGTTCTCTGACAAAATGGGACAAAATTAAATATAAAAGCAAGTAGAGCAATGTTGCTCATATATAAAATCCATGCAAACTAAAACCAGAGGGAAATCATTCCAGATGTACAAATCAATCAGGATAAAATTGCCAACACCTACCATACAAGAAGGAGAATCAGTGTTTTAACATACAGAAAGTGGGCTACTAAAATGCAGTAACAACCTTAGGGCATGTCTACACTGCATCTGGGAGCAAGTCTCTTTTTCCCTAAAATGGCATGAAACCAGCATTGTTGTAACAAAAACTCTTTGTTTAGAGTAGTGATAGGATTTTTGGGCACTGTTTTGGGTATTGATAGAATTTTTCTGCAGTGTTTAAATTGGTCATCTTTGCTTCTTGGGTTCTTGGTTTTTTTAAGCTGCTGAAGCTAGAACCAGACAAAATGTATAATACATTTTTTTCCTTTTATGAGTTACTGGAGCAATAGTGACTAAGCAATACCATGAAGAGGGGCTTCATGCTAATGAACTACAATATGCCTGAGTTTAAAATGTGGTGAAATATATTTGAATTTTTTTGTTAACAGTTTCCCAATCTGGCTCGGTAAATACTGATTATGTTTTGACCTATCATTACAGAGTTCTCAATAACGTGTCACATGGAACTAGCATCAAGTTAGAAACCTGATAAGGTAAGACATTATTTACCAGAGTAAGTAACCTCATTCTTTGGTATTAGTAAAGTATAATATAACAGGGAATCCTGACAAGATGAACTGAAAGAAAAAAAGCAACATTTTTTGTGGTAGCATAAGAAGACCTCATCTTGGATCTGTTGTTTATGTATAGCAAGATGTTGGTTCAGTATTTATGTTCAGTACAGACCGCAAGCTAGAAGGGATACCATCACACTCTCCTTGTGATGCAAATGGCAGGCACTGATACAAAGCTTTGCATCAGTTGATTCATTTCTGACTGGTGATAGTTTTCCCATGCTGCACTGTAATGATCTTATCTTCCAGTGTGATTGTGTGTAGGCAAGGGAAGGGTAGAGAAGGGAACAGGCGGGATTATAAAGAAAGCAAAATAGGTGATTAAAAATGCGTCGTGAGGGATGCCTTGTTTTCACACTCTTCTCATGAGTACTTTTTTACCACTAGCTAATGCCCTAACTTAGCTTCACATGCCAGTGTCCCTGGATGCTCAAACAGAAATGAGCAGCACTCCACAAATCTGAAAAGTGTTACCATGTAGATTAAAATGTTTATTTGCTTCTGTTCAGTCTGATGGTTTTGTTTTTATCATAATGAGGTAAATGTTGTGTATAGAACATACTGCTAGGAAGACAGAGGATAATTAATACAGGGTCCTGTATATACCGAGTGCTCAAAGAAGAGCATTAGTAATAGTGGCAACTGTTCATAAGCCACATAATGCTTTGTTCGTCTTTTGTTTAAAATGTAAAGCAGTGGCACTTTAAAAACAAAAAATGCAGTGTTCCTTGTCTATTTCCATTACTTCTGTTACTACATCTTGGTAAATGTCTCCCATTAACAGAAAATTAATATGAGTGTAGAACAGTTTATAGTTTTCTCATTGCTTATCACTGAAGAATTGTTTGGGAAATAGTTTGTCATATCAGAATGTGCTAAATATCAGTCAAATTCTTCAAAACCCCTTTGTATTATATATGGAAGAACATCTACCAGTTAAAACACATAATTGGTAGTTGAGACATATCCTGTATTTCTGACTCTGCAACAGACTACCTATGTGATCTTGGGTGATTCGCTTATCTCTGTGCCTTATTGCCCCCATTAATAAAATGGGAATAATACCTACCTCACAAGTGTTAGGAGATTAAATTTTTAATGTCTGTAAAAGTGCCTTGAGATCCTAGATTAGAAGCTCTCTGGGGTAGGGACCATGTCTTTATATGTGTTTTTACAGTGTCTAGAACGAGGAGTCCCCAATCCTGCATTGGGTTCTCCGGAAACTACTCCAATGTATTAAATAAACCTTTCATTGAACGGGTATAGCAATTTCGGTATTTTTAAAAAGACATAGATGGGTTTAAAAAATTGTGAGGGAAGCTCCAGAGGAAGTACACAGCAGGAAACTTTCAAAAATGTAAAAATAGGAACTTTCAAATTCCCCGTTTCCAGATAGAGTTGGTATTTGTCAGCTGTGCTAGCAGCTCTCAGCCTTGTATCATCTTGATGAACCTTTCTTGGACAGAAGCAGGTTCTTGACTGCTATTCTGGCATTGATGATTTAGCAAGCTTCCCCCCGCCCCCCTCTTTAAAAGTTGAGTCTTTTGTCAGATTAGCAGTTACAGTCTGAGCTATTTTTCTTCCTTTCAGCTCTTCCTGGAAACTACAGTGGGACCTGAAAAAGCAATATCCCAATATGTACTGTTCTTATTATACTAGCTGTTTACACGCTTCACCAACTGGTGGAATGCAGCCACCTCTGGGGTGGAATGCTGCTTAAAGCACAACATGTTACTACAGGACAATTTAGGACATGAAATAGTAAAACAATAGAGACAAGTTAGGCAGGACACTTATTCTTCCAAGGAGTGCAGTGGGATCTCTGACCATGAGTGCTGTATGACACCTCTGAAATTGTACTGTCCCATGCTGGTATGTATTGACTGAAAGGGAAGAGTGACATCTACTGAATACCCTATATACCATTTCCTACAGGCTTTTCCTTCTAAACACTGAAGGAGGCTGACACCTGAAGAAGAGCTCTGTGTAAGCTTGAAAGCTTGTCTGTTTCACCAGCAGAAGTTGGTCTAATTAAAAGATATTACCTCACTCACTTTGTCTCTCTAATACCCTGGGACCAACATGGCTACAAAACTGCATACAACTATTTAGATTGTGCAATCTGATGAGATCGTGGTCCAAGATGCAGTGGCTGCAGGGTGTATGTGCATTAGCAGAACATCAAGACAAATGTGCTTTTAGTTTATTGATTTTCTGTTTCCCTATTAGAAAATAGCTTATTTAACAGCAAGAAATTTTAAAATGTTTTACTGTATATATTCTAACAAACAAGGCTCTTACCAACTCAAATCTGGGGTTGACTTTGATGTAATGCTGTGGGTTTTTAAATTTTTAGCTCCTATCCTTTATTGCTTCCTGAAAATATTCATTATGAATGGATGGCTGATCTTAAGACAGTCTCTGTATGCTTTCCAGTTGCATCAAGCAATCTAAACCCTAAAGGAATATTTAAGCCAAGGAGGGAATAGTACAACAGCTATTCGGTAATAATACACAACTCTAAGTCCTCTGCAGCATTAGTGACTGCAAGGATTTTGTTAGCAAGTTTTTGTGAACAGTTCAATAGATGCAATAGTTCAGCAAGAGATATGAAGACAACCACTTTTCAGTCTCCTCATGATGACCCATCTATCTGGAGCATTGAATTACCTTTATTGCTCTTATTGAATCATCCTAGACTAGTGTGTGCCCCTGCTAGCTTTTGCTGCCCTTAAGTACTGTGGCTTCAAGGTATTTAGACTAGGATGGTGTCTGCCATTCATAGCTAGAAACAGTTGGAGAGCTTCTATAATGGAAGGCAGAAATGGTATTTGAATTATGATTCACTGAATAAGCTGCAACTTTGTAACTGTTAGCTTAGAGCTCTCCTGTTTGGGATGGGCATGTTCAGAGGCCTTCATTTCCCCGGTGTCATTGCTGTATCTCCCGTATGTTTTTTCCATTCTCTCTCACTCTGTCTTCAGTCTGCTGCCCCCCCCCTTTGTCTCCATGTATTGTTCTGATTTTGTTTTTTTGTTTTGTTTTTGTTTTCTATTTTTGATTCTTTCTCGCAGTCCTCTCCTCTTTTTTCTCACCTCCAGTTTCCTCATCTCTTTCTCTCCCTCTCCATTTCCTCCCTTTTTTCTTGTTCCCTTTTCTAGTTCACTCCCATGGCTTCAGTCTTTTTCTCCTCTCCTCTGTTCCCGGTGTTTAAATCTCTAGTAATATTTTCCACATAGTGTCATTTCTCCTATAAACATGAGGTCTGAGGTTTGTCCAGCCCCAGCTGATGGATAGCTCAGTGGAAGTGTTCTGGTGAATTTTAGATTATTTTCTTAGATAGCAGAAGGCCAGTATACCACATCTTACCTGGTTTTAAGGCTCCTTATAGCCTATTACTTGCAGAATTGCTGTCAGTCAGCTGTAAAGAGCCTGCTCCTCTCCTGCTCTCAGTGATAATGAACTTGATCTGCATGCTGCTACTATCTGATATCAGCATTGTGGGCCACTTCCTGTATATTATCATGTGGAAAGGGGAGGTGCCAGATTTCTCCAAGGATTGCTGAATGGGGCAGAGAGAAGCAATTTTTTGGCATCTTTGCCAATCGCCACTCTAAGTGCTGAGGCAAGTCTTACAGTGTCTCTGGTTAATGTTCCATAACCATGTGGTCTTCCATGCACAGCTCTGACCTATAAGTGTCGGTGTATATGAAAATGCAAATACAACTGGAAAAAGTAGCCAAAACCTTGATTAAGGTTTATTTCCTCTCAGCTTCATTTCTAAGATTCTTCTGAAATTACTTCAGAAAATCTATACAGTTTAATAAAGAATTAGATCTTGTCTGTAGAATTTTTAAACCAACCTGTAGATTTTAATAGAGATTTTATCCTTGTTATAGAGTTTCATAGTTTTGTTTAAAAATTCTATAGAAAGGCTCTTATTCTCTATTTATAGAATCACAGAAATGTAGGGCTGGACGGGACCTTGAGAGGTCATCTAGTTCAGCCCTCTGAGGCAGGACCAACCATACCTAGACCATCCCAGACAGGTGTTTGCCTAACCTGTTCTCAAAAACCTCCAATGACAGGGATTCCCCAGCCTCCATTGGCAGCCTACTCCAGAGCTTAATTGTCCTTATAGTTAGAAAGTTTTTCCTAATATCTAACCTAAATCTTCCCTGTTGCAGATTCAGTTCTAAAGGATTTTTCCAAAAGGGTTTTTTCTCTCTCTCCCTCTCTTTTTTTAAGTTATTCTAGTGGGAAATGGGGACATGATAGCATTCTCAGCATGGAAGAAATTTAAAAACTGAAGCTAAAGCCTGGGTAGGGGTCTTCTCTGTCTTTCTTATTCTTTATCTATTTACATGTAAAAGACTGGGTTATTGACACTTTATCATATTTATTGTAGGTTCCTGGATCTTGTTGTCATAGTTACAGCCTGGTAGTCAGAAAGAGTTGAGCTGGTTTTAAAGTTATGCTAATTGACAGTTTCTCAGGGAAAATAATCCTCAAATTTCAGGCGCTAAACAATCATTCTTGCCCTAGAACTTGGGCAACGGTTTTGTGTAGCCGTTCCTTATTGACCAGACTGCATATGCAAACTGACTTTTTTGGTGAGATCAAGTTATGTTTACATGACTTGACTGCCAAAAACTTTCAGTCAGTTCTGTCTTCCCTCCCCAGAACTCTGAGAAAGCTATATTCATTCGGTGCCGGCATACATTTTCAGGAGAAGTCACTGCAATAAAGTATTTCCCTATGTACTTCCATAGATCTGAATTTTGCAAAGTGAGCCCACTCTGAACTCACCTCACAGCAGCAGCTACTGTCCTCCGGAGCTGGGCCCAGCTCCTTGTTCTGGGCATTGCGACCAGGCGAATGTGGTCACAGCGCCACTCAGGTTTGGCCTGATCGCCCCT